GCAGGCAGGCGAGCAGTTAGGGGCGATCAGGCAAGCAGGCGAGTGGTTAGGGGCGATGAGGCAGGCAGGTGAGGGGTTAGGAGCGAGGAGGCTGGCAGGCAGGTGAGCAGTTAAGAGCTAGAAGTCCCGAATTGCAAGAGGGATGTCCGACTGCCAGTTAAACAGGCAGATGGACATCCCCCGAGGGGTCTTGGATTGTGAGAGGGTGCAGGCTCAGAAAGAGAAATTAAGAATATTCTATTTACAATTGAATCATAAAGAATAAAATACTTAGAAATAAATTTAATAAATTGAATTACCATATGACTCAACAATTCCACAATGCTGTGTTCAATGCAGCATTATTTACAATAGCCAAGATATGGAAGCAACTTAGGTGACAATCTATAATAATAATAATAAAAGTGTAATATGCAAATTAGACCAGACAACCAAACTACCTTCTGGATGTCCTTCCAGACGTCCTTCCAGATGAAGCTGTGGCAGTGGGAGCTGCGAGCTCAAAAGGTTCACCATCACTGCTCTAGTTGATAGATAAAAGGATAAAGAAAATGCAGTATATATTTACAATGGAATACTACTCAGCCATAAGAAAAGGTGAAATATTGCCATTTGTGTCAATATGGATAGACCTAGGGGTATTATGTTAAGTGAAATAAATCAGAAAGAAAAACACAGTTATATGTGGAATCTAAACCACAAAATAAATGAACAAACAAAACAAAACAAAAACAAACTCATAGATACAGAGAACAAACTGATAGTTGCCAGTTAGGACATGTGGGGGAATGCTGAAAAATTTGAAAGAGATTAAAAAGTACAAACTGCCAGTTATAAAATAGTCATAGGATGTAAAATATTAAATATGGAATATAGTCAATAATCTATATAAATAAAAGTCTAATATGTAAAGTGTTGCCCCAGGAGTATGACTGACCCGGAGTTCGATCGCTTGCTATGATGTGCACTGACCACCAGGGAACCGCATGGAATGAAGGAAGGCCCCGGCTGGCAGCCGGCAGCCGCTGGGGACCCTACCTGTGCACGGATTTCGTGCACTGGGCCTCTGGTATTGTAATAACTATGTATGGTGTCAGGTGGGTACTGGACATATTGTGGTGGTCAGTTCATAAGATATTTAACTGCCTGATCATTATGTTGTACACCAGAATTAATATAACACTGTATGCCAACTATCATTAAAAAGTAAAAGAAAAGAATGTGAGTGACTGGATAAAATAAGTTTCTCGTATGTGCCAAACTGATAACCAGAGGTTAGGGTGTGCTCTATCAAAATATATTCACACCAGCAGCACAGGCTTCTGCCTTCTCTTTCTCACACCACTGTTCAATTGTTAGTTCTTGCACACAGCAGGTACGCAATAAGCATTTACTGAGTGAATCCAGTAAAAACAACCTATACTCTCGCTAAAATCAACTGAAAAGTTTTGAGTAGCTAATGATATCCTATTACTTTACGTACCTCTGTCTATCCAAGTCCTTTTACTCTGTTTTATTAACCATTTTCATCATTCACTATTTGAGTTACTCCCAGAATGCAGGCTATGCAAATATTAAAGATCATGTGGCACCCAATACTTTGATAATCTTAATGCTTTCCTTATTGTACAGTTAATGAAAACAGTAAGAGTACATGTAATATGGGTGATGCCATCATTCCTACCTACTTTCACATTTTGCAGCATTAAAAATGTTGCCACCAAGTTCAATGTAAAAATTTCCCTCACTCTTATTGAGGGTACGAAGAGGTTAAAAATCTTGGGCAGATAATAGGGTTTCAACTTAAAAAACTCAGCTTATATCCAAGTTGAATAAAAATATCTTTTATATTATAGCTGGTTATTTTCTTACTTTGCTGATAGCAGAATCTTTTTAAACAATAAAGAACTTCCAAAATACAAATAAAAGAAATATGAGCTACATTAACAAAAATAAAAGAAATCACATTTTCTAAATAACGGAAAAACTGATAAAAGTTAAACATGCATTTAAACACTCATGTTTAAACAGAAAAAGTTAATTCTATTGTAATATTTTTATTTAATAAAGATCTTTCAAATTTGATAACTACTTTCCTGTAAGTTTTAAACATTTAGAATATTCCTAATAATAAAAAATTACATGTCCAAGGCCTTTCAGCAAGACTGAAGCTAATAAAAACTCGGGCATTTTGATTTTTCTATAAAATTACTTTATCTCCATTAGAAGTAAATTTTATTTTCTCAACATATAATTTTAAAAGATATTCAACGACCAGATCTGTTTTTCTCTAAGTTTCATGTAACCTTCATTTTTCAATAACAATTCATTTTTGCATTTCAACCTTTACAGGTAGACCAGTGACTGAGAAATACTAGATATATTAATAGAGTGCCGGGGAGCGCAATCGCGCTCCTCCTGTCTTTCGCCAAAAGTGCTGGAAGCGCTATCAAAGCTTCGAAATGGCGTCCAGTTCTAAGTCTCCTTTTATTAGTGATGATGACATTGCTAAATATGCCAATGTAGTAAAGGTTTCCTTAAGTTTTTGAATATGTAACTTCTTTTACTTGCGATTCATAATTTTTTTCCTAGACTGCTGTAAAATCAGTAAAAATGCCTCGGCAATTTTAGCATAGTTCCTAGGATATTGGTTGGCACTCAAAGGGTTAAGAACATGTGCACGAGCTGCTCGGAAAGAGAGCTCTGCCTTCCGTGGTCTTGGGACAGAACAGCCACTCAAAGCAGATGACTCAGCTGGGAAACCTG